TATATTTCATTTTTTAAATATATTTATTCCTTCCATTTCCAAATCAAACCTCTAATAATATTGATTTATTATTTCACATTTTCTAATATAACATAATATTCTTATCAAAGTAATCCTAGTCTTAGTATTGATTAGTTATAGACTCTAAGAGAAGTCATACATAAACTAAATTAGAATAGAATTGGCATTTCCAATTTAAAACTTCGTTTTTGATAATCTCACTATATTCTATTTTTAGTCTTTAAAATATATTTATACCCACTATCATAAATCATTTTACTCGAACAAATTAATTCTACTATTGCTTCAAAAAAATTCCATTTCCTTCCTTTTTTTTTAAACACAAATAATAAAAGGTCATAATTGAATAATTTATTAAAATTAAAGGAAAATGTCAAAAGAAATGTTCATTAGATAGTTAGAATATGATTTCAAAGTAATAGAGAAACAATTAGATGTATTTATTGATTATTATACTGCTTTTAGTAATCTTTTGATAAAATCAATAATTTGATTGATTAAGTATTCATTATGGATTCTCCAATCTATAAACTAAGCTGTCCAAAATAAGAATTATATTTACTAAAAGATCCTTAATTCAATTTAATTGACTAAACAAACTTTAAATCAAACATTGTTTAGGAAGTGAAACCATTAATCATTTCAAAAATCACATAATAAGTTAATTTAAAACAGTAATCAGATTAACAATTGTAATAATCATCATTACCATAATCATAATCAATTCAATGTCCATCTTAATTTAAGCCATTTAATTATCAAATCATTAAAGATAATTCTATTTATTAAAATGAATGGTGCTGTGCAATGGCTTATAATAAAGATTGTTCATGTGTAGCACTTAGTTGTGATAAATAAATAAAAATATATGAATTCAAGTAAGCAATCTTAAAATAAATTCACGTATTATATCAACATCAAAAAGATGTGCTTACATTATCTTTCATGAAAAAATCCAATTAGTTTATATCAGGAGATTCAGGTGGATCTATTTTAATTTGGTCAATTAATAAAAAATGGTATTGCTCTTAAACCATTTAAGCACATATTGGTTCAATTCGATGCCTAATTATGAATAATAATGAAGATCTTTTTATAACCAGTAGTTATGATAATACTATCAAATTTTGGGTTAAACAAAATGATTGGATCTGGTAACAAACTATCACAGATCATAAACTTTAGGTTAATTAATTAAGTTTAAATGATAAAGAAAATAAAGTTATTTCTTGTGGAGAGGATAAGTTAATATTAGTAATTGAGTACTTTGAATCAGATAAAAAGTGGATTGTGATTTAAAATATTACAGTTGAAGATTTAGGATGTCGAATATGCTTTATCAACAATAATTAATTCACATTTCAACCTATAATAGGCAATTTGATGCACGTCTACTAAATGAATAATATAAGTAAATAGTTCGTTAAAACTAAAGATATTAATGTAAATGAAAGTGATAGTGATTTTGGTGAGTTATTTCCATAATAATTTCTGAAATAAAAATAATTATTAGTTAGTAAACATGGTAATAGCATAAATTTAATCAGAAAAACAGAAGTTGACCAATTTATAGTTGAGTAATCTATTCAATTTGATTCATATTATATTTTTGGGTAGATGAGTGATGATGGAGAGTATTTGATTACTTGGGATTCTCAATCAAATTAAATTTAAATCAGGAAATATGCAGAATAATGAGAGTATATATTATTTGGATATATATTAAAATAAATTTTAGTTTGTTATAATCCTCTCAAGGTTTAAAACAACAAATGGTATATGAAGAAACATATTGTATTTGCCCTTAATATTTAATTTAAATCAATTATGAAATTTACATAATATTCCACTTATTCAAAAAATGTAAAGTCATTTAATTATATTATGGAATTTAAAACAAATTAACATCATGATAATTTTTTGAATTTGTATAAGGAAGGTCATTGAAATAATCAAACTGTGTTTCTTATGTACTTCCATTAAGATTGATCTGTATTTTTTGATCAAACATAACCTTTCCTAATGATAGATTTAAAATTATAAATACATTATAAAATATCTATTATTAATAATATTAAAAATGACAAATCACTTACATGCAAATAAACTTTGTTTTACAGTAAATTTAAATGTTATTGAGTATGATTTATGATTATATTTCCCTAAATATATATCACTTTAATCCCAATTTAGGTCAAATTTATTTTAATAAGAAAAAATATTTTTGAAGAGCAATTTATTTT